TCTCCTCCGGATGCAGACTGGGTAGTGCCATTACGGGATCTGGTCTCCTCCGGACTCAGACTGTGTACGGCCATACGGGATCTGGTCTCCTCCGGATTCAGACTGTGTACGGCCATAGGGGATCTGGTCTCCTCCGGATTCAGACTGTGTACGGCCATACGGGATCTGGTCTCCTCTAGACAGCACTTAATTGATGCGCTAATATGCTGGCCCAACACTTAACTGATGCACTAATAATGCTGGTATTTTTGACAGTGTCTCACCACACTGCAATCCCTCCTATAGAAGTCAGCAAGGACTCATGACACTTGTGACACCATACTCAGCCTGTTGTTGGGCCAGGAATCCAACCAAGACCTCCCATGTGGCTTCAGCTACTGTACCCTTCCATGTGCGCCACTGTGGCTGGGCCTTCCACTGGTGAGTTTTATCTGAAGCTAATAGAAAAAATAATTCTGATATTGAAGCGGCTCTTCTAAAAATATAAAAATAGAGAATGCTTCCCAGATCTCTAAGAGCAAATTGGACAGTAAAAACAAACAAACAAAAACAAGCAGGGAAGATACAGACCAATTTCACTCATAAACAGCCAAAATTTAAACACATTATTAGCAAATAAAATCTAACAAGACAATAAAAGGATGGCCAAATTAAGTTTATTCTAGGAATGTTAAAGTGTGGTTTCTAAAAATAATAAATATAGGAGCGAGCAGGGGGTGGTGCAGTGGTTAAGGCACTGGACTCCCACACGGCTCACTGCAGTTCGAGTTCCGGACCTGAAGGCTTGCTTTCTTATTGTCCCTCTCTGTCGCTCTCTGGTGAGCATGTGTGCCTTTGAGCAAAATTAAAACAATAATAATAAATAAATAAAATTAAATAAACAATTATTTATAAAAGCAGTAAATATAATTAACTGAAGGAAAAAAATCATATAGTTATCTCAAGTTATACAGAGAAATTCAGCATCCATTCATGAGAAAAGAAAATACTTTAGTAAAGTAGGAATAAAAGAGAACCTCTTTAATCTGATAAGCAGCTTCAATAAAACCAACATCAATTAACAAAGTAAATACTAAAACAGCCTCTTGGGAATTAGTAATTAATACGTGAATGCCTACTAAACCATTTCTATTCAAAATACACTGAAGTTTCCAGCCAGCATAGTAATTTTTAAAAGTATAAGGATGACAGAAAAGAAACAAAGCTAGTAATATAATTATTCATAGAAAATCCAAAAGGATCGGAGTACAAATGATCAGAATTAATGAGCAAGATAAGCAAGATGACTAGATGGTAGACTAAAATACAAAAACTATTTGCATTTCTATTCACCAGTCACAAACTGTTAAGAAATATAGTTCAATAAAATTCCATTTGCATGACAGTGTACATTTATCAAAACTCACAGAACCATAAACCTAAAGTAGGAACCTTTTATTCATGCAAATTATATGTCAAGAAGCTGTAGGAAACACACTATTTGTTAACTGCAACAACAAATGTGAAGTCCATACAAAATAACCTAACCTATATAAGACTATGCTAGAGAAGTTATCAAACTTTACTTAAAGGTATAAAAGGATAGCTGAATAAATGGAAGGACACGACACAAACTCATGGACTGGAAGGTTTAATCTCATGACATCATTTCTCCTCAACATGATCTTTGGATTCAATGAATTTCCGATCAAAAAATGTCAACAAAATTTTAGGAAGAACTTAGTAAGCAGATTCTACAATTTACATGAAGGAGCAAAGGGAAAAGAAAAGACTCTTCTAAAAAAGATAACTTAACTCCTTTTAGTAATTAAGTCGGTGTGATACTGGCCTAGGAATAGAAAATCTGACCAAAGGAACAGAATAAAGAACCCAGTCCCCGATCCGTGCATATTACTTTAGTTTTGACAACGGTGGCACTGTAGGTCAGTGAGGAAATGATGGGTAACCCTGCTAATGGCCCTGGGATAAGTTTTTATTCAATGTAGAGAGCAATAATAATGCGAGAAAGAGAGAGTGAGAAAGAGAGAGTGAGAACTGGACAGTCTACAATCCAATTCAAAGCCATTCCAGATGAACTAAAGATATCCGTGAAAAGAACATATTCAAAACTGAAAGGAGAGAAATAAAGGAGAAAACCACTATAACGTTGGAGCAGGCAAAGTTTTTTTTTTTTTTTTTAATGCAACCTAAAAATAGTAATTAAAAGGGAAAAGGTTAACAAGTTTAACAAAAACTAGCAAACAAACAGTAAATTGCAAGCAATAGATAAATTGTACTATGGAACACAGCACATATGAGGGTAAGCATACATTTTCCTCAAGGAAAAACAATGAGAAAATGAAGTAAAAGTAAAAACAAAACAAAACAAAACAAAACAAAATTGTAAAAGAAAGTCGATCCAGATATAAAATCAATAGGCATGATCGTGAGCAATCAATGGTATGTAAGAAAGAAGAGCCCAGAGAACACTGAGAAAATGACCACAACAAGACTGAGGCACTGGACCTTCGCCAAAGGACACAGAATCTCAGCACACAGTTTGGTGCTGCGATAAATGACAGCTCTATAGTTTTCAACTTTTCAATTTAACCTTTAAAAATTTTTTTAAGAATTATTTGGGTCGTCAGAAAAGTCATGATGCATTTTTGCATAGAAAAATATGTCATGACTTTTCCAACAACCCAATAGTTACGTTCATAGAAATATCATCACCTTGGGACCAGCAGATGGTATAATGGTTGTGTTGTTGGATTCCCACATAGTGGACCTTGGTTCAATTCCTGGACCCAGTAGCTTAAAACTCATGCCCAGTGTGTGTACATGCATGCCCAAAATCCCAAGAGGAGAATGAAGGAAAAGGTACTGCAGCATGGCTATCCCCCATTGGGGAGTGATTTCTCACTTTCTATTTCTCTGTCTCTCTGTTTCTCTGGCAAGCACATACACCCTGTAACAAAAATCTCCCAGACCCGGGTGACTTGCTTTCTCACTTGCCCTCTCTCTCTCTGGTGAGCACACCTGCCCTATAGCAAATTTAAAATAATAATAATAATAAGTAAAATTAAATAAATAATTATTTCTAAAATAAAATATAAATTAGTTTGATTCCTTACCCCACAGAAGGAATCCAGTAAAGTCTAAAAGTGGTAAGTGAAGAAACGGTGTTCTAAACACAGGACCTAGAGACATGGAGGTAACTTCCAGTAAATCGAAAACCCAGACAAAGGACGGTGAGGAAGGCGGGGCTGTGCCGCCCTTTGTAAGCTCCTCGACATTACCGCACTGTTAGTCTACGTGCATGTATTATTCCAATAAATAAGAAGGTTTTGAAATTGTTGCCAGAAAGAAAAGGTTAAGATCCCCAAACTATCTTCCCTCCAGTAGGTAAAAGAAAATGGATGTCCACTCCAAGAGAAAAACTTCTAAACACTTGACAGAGACTAACGATCCAAAAATCTACCAACCATATTCAGCAGAGTAAATATAACATCATCACTCAATTCGAAGTGAAGAAGTCAGTCTGGAGGCTGAAATCATCCTTCATTGTCTCTTTTCCTCTTTACCTTTCTTTTCTCTGTTTCTCTTTTGTTCCCCTACAGCTTTGCTTTCTTTAGCATGAACATTTGACTAGATGCATGTGTGTGTACACATGCGTGTGTATGTATACATTTATATATGGGTGTATGGACGTATGTTATATGAAACACTAGGTTTATTTGTACAACACGGTGCTTAATTTCTCTCCATACAAAAAGAGCAAATCACGTTGATTTTTATTTCTACGTCGTCTAAACTAATTTAAGTCCCTGCAGGCATTATCAGGTAGAGGAAAAATGGTCCTCCTGCTGACTTAGGGGAAGAACACTCAAACGAAAGGCAACCTCGCTATTATCAGCCCTCAAACTATTCCTCAATGGGTCTGTTTCTGGAGACTGTTGTATTACTTCGGCTTCAAGAATCAATAGTTAGGTTTCCAGGGACTGGGTCAATGGAAAAGTTATATTTTTCTATGCAAAAATGCGTCACAACTTTTCCAACAACCCAACAGATATTCAGTGATGATTTAGAGAGATGAAAGTTGAAGTCCAAGTTTCGTGAAAACTAAAAAGTTAAAGGTTCATGGTAAAGAGGTTCGGCCCCCATCTCAGAATCTCCAGGCCCACGTCCAGGTGTATACTTACACTATGTGTGCAAGGTCAAGTGGTTTCTCTGGTTGCTCAGGAAAAACAGGATGTGGGGGTTCTCTGGTGGGTACACACCCCAAAGATTTACTAATTGCATGGCTCAGCTTCTTTGCAGGGGATTTCTGTGTCAAAGTAGAAAAATAAGAAAATAAGAAATTAACTCTTAAAAAGAAAGAAAAAGAACTTGGTAACATAAGAAGAAAGAATATCTTCTCAAATACAAATCACGTTTCACCATAGTCAACATTACTGGGCCTTTAGAAAGGAACATACAGTTGCCCCAAGGTCATGCAGTTCCTTCATTTCCAAGGTTCTTCTCTCATTTCTTTTTCTTTTTTCCTAGGGTTTTTTGTTTGTTTGTTTTGTAGGTTTTTTGGTTCTTAGTTTTCTCTATGGGGCATATGTCCTTGCCAGAAAGAGACGAGAGAGAGAGAAAGTGAGAAACCACTCCTCAGGGTGGATGGCCACACTGCAATCCCTCCTCCATTCTCCCTTCAGGATTTTGGGCATGCAAGCGCTGCATGTTTTTCAAGCCTCCAGGTTAGGATGCAAACCATGCAGTCACTCACGTGGGGTCCAGTGCCTTAACCACCACCCCACCTGCTGGCTTTCTCTCCTCATTTCTGTATGAAGTCACATTCTTCATTCAGTTAAGGCTAACTTTCCTTCTGGACATCTTTATGTATGAACTGCCTCTTTTGATACCTGGGGATCGCTGCTGGTAATATGTTAATTTTCCAGTGAGTCAGAGCTTCCTAATGGCCTACATTCCTAAAAGCCTAAGATAATCGGGAACCAGCAGTTAGCGTAATGGCTATGTCGCTGGACTCCCATGTAGTCGACCGCGGTTCGCGTCCCGGACCCGGTGGCTTAAAACTCACGCCGGGCGCGTGTGCATGCGTGCCCAAGAGCCCAAGAGGAGAATGGAGGAGAAGGGATTGCGGCGTGCCCATCCCCCCTGGGGGGTGATTTCTCGCTTTCTGTCTCTATGTCTGTCTCTCTGTCTGGCGAGTGCACGCGCCCTATAGCGAAAAACCTCTCCAAAAAAAAAAAAAAAAAAAGCCTAAGATAATGCAGATGTGAGCAAATTAGCTGACAAGGCACCTTCCCCACACAGCACAATATTCTCCAGCAAATACGAGGCAAAACACTTAGTTTAGGTAGACGCACACATGAATGGAGGGGCCAGTAGGTGGTGTGGTGATTAAGAAACTGGATTCCTACATGATGGACCATGGTTTGAATTCCAGATTCAGTGGCTTGAAAATCACACTGGGCACGTGTGCATATGTGCCCAAGGTCCTGAGAGGATGGAGGAGAAGGGACTGCAGCATGGCCATGCCCCCAGGGGGTGATTCCTCACTTTCCCTCCCACTGTCTCTCTCTTTCTCCCCAGCGAGTGCACACACCTATGGCAAAAAACTTAAAAACAAGCAAACAAATGAGTGCACTCACACACACACAGGCAGTCGACACGACACCTGTGACTCTAAATTATGATATACTAAAGCTGCAAAGATAAGTTGGCATACCAACACATTTCTCTGGAAGATAAATTAATACATGCCAAATCTAGAGACTATTGATTCTAAAAGTTAAAAGTAAACACGCATGAAAATAAACAATATGCCACAATCAAGTTACAAAGTACATGCACTTCTAAAACTCATATTTAAAGGGAGCTCTTTATATTTAAAGTATAAATTCCCTTTTTTGAGGTTTTTGTTTGTTTTGTTTTTGTTTTTTGCCATAAGGCGCGTACACTCGCCAGACAGAGAGAGACAGAAAGCGAGAAATCACCCCCTCCCCAGGGGGGATGGCCACGCCACAATCCCTTCTCCTCCATTCTCCTGTCGAGCTCTTGGACACACACACACACACATGTGCCTGGCGTGAGTTTAAGGCACCAGGTCCGGGAATCGAACCGCGGTCAACTACATGGGAGTCACTAACTGCTGGTCCCAAGTATAAATTCCCTTTGAGTAGCACTGTTGTCTGGAGCTTTTCTTGGCAGGATATCAACTGGAAAAAAGTTTCCATCTGTGGTTGTACTGACTTGCAGCATGTTACCAGAGGTGCCATCTCCCGTGGAGGAGGACCTGCTTGCCACTGTGTGCCTCCACATGACAGTGACATGCTGCTTGCTCTAGCTTTTAACACAAAATAAACAACAATCTATTTGCCTTTTAGGCCATATAGGCAAAGTTCATTAATCTCTTGTTTATAACAAAGTCTAAATAATAGCAATCTCTTCAGAAACTTCAGATACTGGTCCCAAATCACCTACTACTGCCCCTCCCACACATTAAATGCTAGCTGTAACCTCATATCCTCCAAATTGTATGCAGCGAAACAACGCTGAAATGTAGAGACTCCCTAAACTGCTCACCATTTTCTCTTTGCCAAATGACCAGTTGTAACGTGACTAATTCTTCACCATCTGATCCGCCTTCTGCAATGGCCCCCAGGAATCATGTCACTCTTCAGCTTAAAAATTGCTCGCAGAGTAGCAATCGCTTGTGGAATAGGATGTTCAGAAGTGGCGTCATATTCTATGCATGGGCGTTCACACCTGGCTCCCACCTCTCTCTCCTCTACCTCCCACCAGCATGAGGGTTAGCTGCTCACAGTTCATCCAATGCACCATATCCTTTAGGGTCTCTGGACCTTGGCATGAGTCTTTCTCAGGTCTCTCTCTTCCACTCTACCTTTGTGTAAATTTTCTGCTTGTCTTTTAAGCCTGCTTCCAAGCTCCCCTTTCTCTGTGAAGACTTTCCTCGTGGCTCCATACATCAGTGGCTGCCCTCCCAGGCCAGCTGCTTCCTGGGTACACACTTCCTGGGTACACACTTCCTGGGCACACACCTCCTGGGCACACGCCTCCTGGGCACACACCTCCTGGGCACATACCTCCTGGGCACACCTCCTGGGCATACACTTCCTGGGTACCTCCTGGGCACACACATCCTGGGCACACACCTCCTGGGTACGTTCTTCCTGGGCACACACCTCCTGGGCACACACTTCCTGGGCACACCTCCTCTCAGTGGCTGCCCTCCCAGGCCAGCTGCTTCCTGGGTACACACTTCCTGGGTACACACTTCCTGGGCACACACCTCCTGGGCACACGCCTCCTGGGCACACACCTCCTGGGCACATACCTCCTGGGCACACCTCCTGGGCATACACTTCCTGGGTACCTCCTGGGCACACACATCCTGGGCACACACCTCCTGGGTACGTTCTTCCTGGGCACACACCTCCTGGGCACACACTTCCTGGGCACATACTTGCTGGGTACACACTTGCTGGGCACATACTCCCTGGGCACATTCTTCCTGGGCGCACACTTCCTGGGCGCACACTTCCTGGGCACACACTTCCTGGGCACACACTTGCTGGGCACATACTTGGCACACTTCCTGGGGCTGGGTACACACTTGCTGGGCACATACTCCCTGGGCACATTCTTCCTGGGCGCACACTTCCTGGGCGCACACTTCCTGGGCACACACTTCCTGGGTACACACTTCCTGGGTACATAGTTCCGCTGTCACATTTACATTGCAATTTTTAATTCATTTGCCTGTCTCTGTTACAGCAGATTGGTGCTTCTGAAGGGTAGGATCTATATCTCACTCATCTTTGTTTTCCCAGAAACTGCCGTATCATAGGATATGCTATTTGAACAAATTATTTGACTAGATGAATTTTCTAAATGGCTTTCTCCTAACCAAAGCACATAAGGTTTATTTTGTGAGAATTACAAGGAGATACTCAGAAGACATCAAAGAGAATATCTTAATTCACCTTTATAATTAAACAGTGCATCTCTAATCCAAGTATTAATTTCATGATTTCTCACTGTATCTGAGAACCACCTGGGCCATTAACTCATGCCATCTACGTGGGAAGAATGATCACATAGACTATTTTAGCTTCACTGTAAGCAATAGTGGCCATAAAAATCACAGGTTTTGTGAGCATATTTTATAAGAAATATTAAAATAATGACATGACTGTTAAAATGAAAATCTTTGCCTTCGCATGCGTCTAGCCTTTGATGCACCTGCAAATACTGCCTGGGGCTAGCCCGTAAAGCAGCAGTTGAGCACTGTGCATAGGAGAGCTGGATCCCACAGGCTGACCATGGTTTGGAACCCAGCCCTAATGGCTTGAAAAACATACCAAGTGCTTGTTCATGCACCAAGCCCTCATGGGATGGAAGAAAGTAGGAAAGAGGAGTATGGTGTGACCACACCCCAGCTGAAGGGTGCACTCTCTCACTCACTCTATCTCTGGCAAATGCAGGTGCAATCTGGCAATCTCAAGAAAAGAAAATACTGCTTCAAGTTAAGGTTTATGTTTAGGTCTAATGTGGCTAGAAAGATAAAATCAACACAGCAAGAGAAGTTTGATATGTATGGGAAGGGAAAAATGAGAATAAATAAAAATGAAGAATTAGGCTTTTTTTTTTTTTTTTGAGAGAGTTATTTTGCTATAGGGTGCATTTGCTTGCCAGAGACACAGAGACAGACAGAGATACAGGAAGCGAGAACCACCCCTCACGGGAGATGGTCATGCCACAATCCCTTCTCCTCCAGTCTCCTCTCAGAATTTTGAGCACACACACACATAAGTACCCAGTATGAGTTTTAAGCCTCTGGGTCCAGGACTTGAACTGCAGTCGACTACATGGGAGTCCAGTGACACAAGCATCATGCCATCTGCTGGTCCAAAGTATTAGGTTATTAACTAAGGCCTAGGACCAAACCAAAAGAATATTACCTGAGAATTTTAAAGTTTATTTAATTAGGTTATCTAAACACATAAATGATTTTCTTTTTTTTTTAAGAATTATCTATTGTATTTATTATTATTATTATTATTATTTTAAATTTTGCTATAGGGCATGTGTGCTCACCAGAGAGAGAGAAAAAGTGAAAAAGCAAGCTGCCAGGTCCGGGACTCAAATCGCAGTTGGTCATGTAGGAGTCCAGTGCCTTAACTACCACACCACCTGCTGGCCCCAAAAGTGATTTTCTTAAAAATATCTCAAAGAATAATTATGCTATGAACTTGAAGTGCATTTGGGTAAGGAGTTAATTTGTAAGCTAATATT